TGAAAATATATAATGGTATAATATCACTCAATTAGTTATCCTTTTATATTTTCAGTCAATTAGTAATAACAAATTCATTTTCAACCAATTATTCTTTTTTATTTTCAGCCAATTAGTCAATTAAAATATCAAATGCAGTGATATTTTTACCTAATTTTCGTTCCATTTTTAATTGATGATGTAGATATTATTATTGAAATATTTTCGTTCCATTTTTAATTTACCTTTACTATTGTTTAAAATATGCATTTACTATTGATAATGTTGAATATTATTATTGAAATATTTTCCTCCAATTTTTAATTTCCATTCCATTTTTAATTAAAATGCAATGATCTAACCATTTCTTTTTTTTTTTAGTCAATTATGGATCATTTTTTATTTGCAGTCAATTATTAATATTAATTTTCTTTTATATTTTCAGTCAATTAGTAATATTAGATTCATTTTCAGTCAATTATTCTTTTTTATTTTCAGTCAATTAGTCAATTAGAATATAGATGCATTTATATTTTTACCTAATTTACGTCTATTTTAATTTGATGATGTAGAATATTATTAATAAAATATTTTTTCTTTCCATTTTCAATTTACCTTTACTATTTTTAAAAATATGCATTTACTATTAGATGATGTAAAATATTATTATTGAAATATTTTCATTTAATTTTCTTTTACTTCTAAACAAAAAAATACAAAAAGAAAAACAAAATACAAAAAAAAAATACAAAAAAAAACAAAAAAAAAAAAAACAAAAAACAAAAAACAAAAAGTGACTTTGGACTTCTCAATACTTGTCTACACTGATGGGCAATCCAAAAAAAAAAAAAAAAAAAAAAAAAAAAAAACAAAAAACAAAAAACAAAATACTTCTCAATACTAATGGGCAATCAATTATGTTTGTAAGAGGAGCATCTTCTTTTAGGCTCTTATATAGAAGAGCTTCTTTCTAAATTTTCAATGTGAGATCAAAATGATCCTACATCATTTACAACGAGAGCCCGTGGCTCCCTTTTGTTTTCTTCTTATTTTTTTTATTTTATTTTGTATATCGTTTTGTTCGGATTATTATTATTATTATTATTATTATTATTATTATTATTATTATATTATTATTATTATTATTATATTATTATTATTATTATTATTATTATTATTATTATTATTATTATTATTATTATTATTGATAAATTCACCAAAATTTTAATAAATTCGTCATTTTAACATTTTAACTTTAATCAAAACACCAAAAATATATTACATAATAACTCAGTAATTTGCTCCAAACTGTTAAAAACTAATACAACACATACATTTTGGGTTAATCTTTCACAACCCCCACTAATAATAAATAAATAAACAAAACTAAAATAAGAAGACAAAGATAAGGCGAATATAAATAAGGGGGTGACTCAATGGGTTAGAGGGCAGGGCCAAATGTCGGTGCACATAAGGAATCTGTCCACTTTAGACATAATTCTCACACTGCCACTGCCGAGGTTCGAACCTTAGTCTCTTACCCCAAATACTGCCCACTAAACTATTGAGCTAAGCCCGTGCAGGTAGACTTGTCAATACTTGCCCACATTGATGGGCAAGAAATTATGTTTGTAAGAGGAGCAAATGCTCCTCTTATATAGAGGAGCTCTTTCTTTTCAAACATTTTCAATGTAGGATCAAAATGATCCCACATCATTTACAAAGGGAGCCCTCTTGTTTAAAAAAAAAAAATTTATTTTATTTTATATATAATTTTGTTTGGATTATTATTATTGTTGTTGTTGTAATTTGCCAAAATTTTAAAAAATTCACCAGTTTAACATTTTATATTTAATCAAAACACGAAAAATATTATTTAATAACTTAGCAATTTGCTCCAAACTGCTAAAAACTAAAACAACACATATACATTTTGGGTTAATCTTTCCCAAACCCCCTAATAAATTAAAAAAAAAATTTAAAAAAAAAACTAAAATAAGAAGTCATTAAGATAAGATTTTTCTTAAATAAGAGCCTTTTGACATTGTGGAACCGTGTTCACCTTGCAAGTTAATATTAGGGTGTGAATTGGACGTCGTATATTAATTTTTTTTTTTTAAAACAACACAAATAGCCGATGTCATAAGTTAATTTTTTAATTTTAAAAAAATATACAACAACCGACGTCGTATCATTTATGTACTACATCTCGAAGGACGACGTCGAAAGATAACCGAATTTAAAACCCTTTTTGTGTAGTAGTGGTTTGAAATTGGAAGCACTTGTTAGTGAATAAAAGTATAAAACAACCACATTATGTATCATCTAGCCTGTTACATAACTTGGCATGAGTTCCAATTGTTTTAGACTCTAGAAGCTGTCCAACAACAAAAAGAATTTAGATTAGAGTGTGTAGGGATTAATGAACAATATGGCAAGAGTATGGTTTCCCTGACCACTAAAGTAAAGACTTGAATGTATGCAGTGGGGGAAGTAAAAAGCTTTAAGCTTTTGGAGATTGAGGTTAGGTTTTCATAAAAAACAAACAAGGCTAAGGATGGAATGGATTAAGAGGTGAGACACAAATTCTTCAGGTGTAACATAACGCATTAGCTTGTTTTCAGCCTAGACAGAATAAGTAGTATTCTCGATCTTCTGATGATAATTGACAACATGTATGCTGCTGCAGCTGAAACTGATAAACTGAAGATAATTGAAATTTTAAATCATATTACAAAATGCAATCACATGCATCCTGAGAAATTTAAATTAGCTTGAGAAATTTGTCAGGATACACATCCTCCATGGCTCCATCACAGATTTAACTGATTTAGCCATTCATAATCAAAATCAAACAGCATAAAACATAATAGCCCAAGCCGCACTCCAAGGTGATCCTTACTAACGACGAAACAAATCCGCACCCACGTTGGCTATGCAATTCTCAGGGTGGCCGGACATATCCGCACCCACGTTCTCTGCTGCCATTGCCAGATACTGAGATAGTGTTCTGTCTTGTCTGGGTGTTAGAAAATGATTAAAATATAATCAGCTTCAATACTTCAGACCACGGTTTTGTCTTCAACATTGCAATGCTTGCACGTGTCCCCACTCAACCATGTCTTCACCTCTCTTCAAATGCTTACCGTAAATTGCTGCCCTTTCATATCTATAAATAGGTTTTAATATCATTTGTATTAGGCACCTCTTATCAGCATCAATATATTGAATTCATTTTCTACTTTCAATACTCTCCTCGCGTTACATATACTAGTATTTTATATGCGCGATGCGCAAAAAATATATGCCTAATATTAAAATTAAATATAAAAATCTTAGTTATATTAATTTTTTAAAAATAATAGTATATGTGCAACCTGCATTATAAATGAAATGGTAAGGTCACATAATAACCATTGATACATTCCCCATCAATGGATGAGATTATATTATGATCTTCAAGTAAATAAGAACAATTGGATGTAGTGGGTTATTTATGGATGTAATTGATTTGGAATCAATTGGAATATATTATGGTGATTAGGATTGGAAATAAATCATAAGACTTATTTATCAACATGTGTTGAAACTTAGTCCGGCGTGAAGGAGACGGCAGTGTACCAACGAACAAGGGGGCAGGAGCACGATGTCGTCTAGCAACACAGGTATGTGCGTAACTATGTTATGAAATGTGCATTAGACAGTTTTTTTTAACCTAGCTACTCAACAAGCTACGTATGACGAAGTAAATGAAATGGGATGTGCACGATAGTCTTCTTAGGGGTGCAAATGTGAGAGATAGTGTTAGTTATGATAAGTTTGGTGGGTGGCCGAAGCAATTGTGTGTGTTATATTAGGTGTATTGAGTGTAGTCAGTGCATGTTATAGCTTAGGCATGTGCATATGGCGACGTTAAAGTGATTGTGATATATGTTTAGAAATGTTGCAACGATCGTACCGAATGGGAATGTGAAATTGTTGCGGTAGGCAATGTGCAATAGGTCTGATGGGGGTAGAATGGCTAGAAACAGTAGTGGTTTGTGTTAATTAGTCCGGCTGCCTGTGCAAAAAGCATGTTGTGCTGTGCGTTGTGGTTATGAAGGCGTGTGCGTTTCGCTGATCAGAATACAATGTTGATAAACCAAATCTGCACAGAGCGGCAAAAATTATAGTATAATATTAAACTGATAACGAGACCTATGTGCTTGACAGGTGCACCAACAATGGACCAAGACATTGAGGGCCAACACTGCGTTATGGATGTTACTCCTAACTGTACTAAGTTATGGTTAACGGAATGCGACCCATCGGTGAAACCATTTGAAGGGCAATTCTTTACCACAGTAGAAGAAGGCATTGAATTCTACAATAAGTACGCGTCTATCGCTGGTTTTGACGTTCGGCGCAATTCGGACAAAAAGAATAGATACGGGGCTATCTTGAAAAAGAAGTTGGTTTGTTCACGGGAAGGTTTTAAGCAAAGTACATGTGCAGAAACCTCAAATCTAGAACAGACAAAGAAGACCAAGCATCGACGCACCTCCAACAGAGTTGGGTGCATGGTGAGGATTGTATTCAAAAGAGACAAAGTCGAGAGGTACGAAGTGACGACATTTATAGAGGCCCACACACACTGTTTGTGCGATGACAATTTCAAACCTTTCTTAAAAGTCAATAGGAAATTAGATATTGGCCATCAACTATTCATTACCAACTGTTCAAAAGCTAATGTTGGGGCGACCAAGAGCTTTGACATATACGCAGAGATGGTGGGTGGAGTTGAAAATGTGGGAGCAACACAGTTAGACTTCAAGAATTACAGGAGGGAAATTTTGGCATACATGAAAGGTGGAGATGTACAAATGGTAGTATCCAACTACCTTGATATCAAATTTGACTATAGCGATATGTATTTTGAGTATGAAGCAAATGAGAACGACCAATTGGCTTGAGTTTTCTGGGCGGATGGTGTGGCACGGAAGCAATACAGTGCTTTCGGTGATGTTGTCTCTTTCGATGCTATGTACAAGACGAACAGGTATTATAGATTAAAATAACGAAGATTGTAACTGCTTGTTAATTATGTGTTGGATCGTATATGCATACTAGGTATAGGTTTGTGCATGGTAGGGGATTAACATGTGTACCCATACAGTAGCGTGTGCGAATTCCTGATGTGGGCATTGTTATTAAACATGTGTGTATAAGTATGTGCGTTAAAGGAGTAGGTTTGTGCATTTAGGAGGAGAATAATTAGGCCTGTGCATGGGTAATGTACTAGTCTGTGCAAGAGGCGGATATTAATTCGGCCTGTGCATGTGTCTTCTAGTCGATTGTGCATACCCGTATAGTAGTGTGTGCAAAATCCTGATGTGTTTGTTGTAATTATACGTAATCCGGCACCCAAAGCGTAACTTGTATTAACTTGTCTGAATGGTTTGACAGGTACGGGCTCGTGTTTGTGCCATTCACAGGTATAGACAATCATAAGAAATGCGTGACATTTGCAGCAGCACTGATTGCAAGGGAAGATGTAGAATCGTACCGTTGGGCCCTTAACAATTTCAAAAAGACAATGGGTAGCACACCGGCTATAACAGTAACGGATCAAGACCCAGCTATGAAGGTGGCGATTGCGAAAGAGTTTCCCGAGACACGCCATCGTTACTGCATGTGGCATATAATGACAAAGGTAGGTGATAAAGTTAGTAGTGAGCTGGCGAAGAATGAGGAGTTCCGGCGGGAGCTAAATTCAGTGGTGTGGAACGACAGCTCGACGTCCGAATATTTTGAGATTGCATGGAACGGAGTTATTGAAAAGTATGGGTTACAAGAGAATGTGTGGTTTAAACGTATGTATGAAGAGCGTGCGTTGTGGGTACCTGCACATTTAGAAGATGTGTTTATGGGGGGGGGGGGGGGTTACTACGCACGACATCCCGCTCCGAAGCTGAAAATAGAATATTCAGGAGCAACACTGACAAGCACTTATGCCTTGGGGAATTTTTCAACCGGTTTGAGAGTGCTATCAGAAAGCAGCGATTGAAACAGACTGAACTAAGCGCGGCTTGCAACGGCCACACCCCACCTCTGAAGACCCAACTCCGTATAGAGCAAGAAACAGCATCTTTGTATACACTGACTGTGTTTTACGAGGTTCAAGATGAAATATGTGCCGGATGCTTTTCATGCCGAGTCCGCACAATCACCCATGGTGAGACGGTGAATACATATGTGGTTGAAGATGAGTTTGGGGTGCGAAACACAATCCATGTCGAAAATGGGAGCATGACAACAACTTGCGCATGCCGTATGTACAAAAGGGTCGGGCTGCTATGCAGGCATGCTTTTGCAGTATTCATGGATGAAAGGATTGATCACATACCTCCGCAACATATCACCCCAAGATGGACCCGAACCGCAATACCAAAAACAACGGGTGATATCGGGAATGAGGGTAGAGAGCAAGGCAAATATGCACCAACCGGGAACAAAGAGGAGAGTAATGTAATAAACAAATTCTACGGGTGTTTAGGCATGGCCCAAGGAAACGTGGTGAGAATGCAAGAGATCGAGCATGTGCTGGATGAGTTCAAAACGACCTGGGGTGAGGACGAAGAAGGACATGGGGCTGCGAACAAAGGGAAACAAGATATTATTGAGTCATACTGTGGAATTCCAGCACCTGAGACGGTAATAGTGCACCCCCACCAATGACAAACACCAAAGGCTCGGGCAAACGAATGCGATCAGCTAAGGAAATAGCAATGAAAGAGCACGGTGAGAAAAAGCGTACGTGTAAAACATGTGGATTGGCGACAGGGCACAACAGGCGAAGCTGCACGCAAAAGTAGGACTCGTTATCATACCGTGAAAGCACACGTACCTAAAATAACTCATCCCTAAATAATGAAGACTGCAATGGTGTTTTATAGGATTCCTTTTATGCTATTATGGCGAACTGATGTAATGTTATGCACTTTAAATGAATAAATTTTATCCTATATACGTGTAAAGTAGGTAACTAGCCCTTAGTTTAGAAAAATTCATACTGCGCGCGAAGTAGAATTACACGCTCCAGTGTTTTGCACACGCATATCGTCGTATACGCACAGACCGTGGAACGGAATTATTAAACTAAAGGAAAACACGCTGCATGGGTTGTAGTACAGAATATGGAGTAAAAAATACAAAATAACAAGGTCTACAACGCATACACTTAGGTGCCCACATGATGCACAAACCAGTACACAAGAACGCAACTGCCACGAACTTTAACGCACGACAAAAGCCAGAAACGCACACTCATACGCCGAGACAATTAACAAACACAACGTGACCAAAACAATATGAGACTGGAGCCTTTTAACAAATATGGGTGACAACTACAACGTGCATTATGTTTTTGGGAAAACAAAAATCATTCGATAAATAGATAAGTGTATTTTAAACATGGAACAATTGTTTTAATTGCTGTATAACATATAAGTCTTCAATGAGTAGCATTTTAAACATGGTAAGATTGTTGTAATTGGTGTATAAAATAAAATTCTTCAACAAGAAGCAGCACTTGACCCCCCAAAGCAGTTGACATTCGAAATCCGATGAGTGTTGCCATGGAACATCAAAATTTCATACAAGTAGCGTACACGTAATTCAACCAATGCGCGGGCATCACCTCTACGGAGCCCGCAGTCCCATGAAGCGTATGACTGGCCAACAAACGATTCCATGCGACGCATGGAAAACACACCACAATCCACCTTGTTCTTCACGTCGCGCCATGGAATACGAACCCGACGAGAGATCAGCTTTGAAACCTTGACAAATAATGGTACGACCCAAACATCCTAAAAAAACAGACAACAAATCTTGCTACAAAGACCAACAAATATCGTAATAAGGCATACGAATTAATGTGGGACAAGTACGTATTAACCAAAAATGAAGTGGAGAAAACAATTCACAGCATACCAGCACCATGGATGTGTCCCCATATTTAACAAGAGAGACATCCCCCGCCGAGGAATTATCAATAACATCAAATCTCATGCGTCTCAGATCAACTACAATAACATAGTAGTGAGCCGCTTGAAGTATAGGGAAAAGCAACTGCATGGAAAAAAAAAACAATAAGACAATTTAATCACAAAAATTAAATTCAAATATGACAAGCACCATGTCAAGTTGATCCCATGCACTATACGTAGACAACTTCAACTCTTGCTCCATACTCTCTATAAACAACTGCAACCGACGACCACGTAGCCCCGACACATCAACAACAGTATACAACTACAACACAATTGCAAACGAAACCGTAAGTTTGAAACCGAGAAAGTGAAATAAAATTGTAAAAATTGAGATAGGGAAAACAACCGTTGTTGCAGGTGACAAGAATAATCTAGTGAAACAAAATCTGCCCGACATGCTGACCGATCACAATAATTAAACAACTCCACATTCCTACCACAAAAAAAAAAAAAAAAAAAAAAAAAAACCAGTGAAAACGCAAAATTCGATTGATAACATATCTAGCGAATGGAGGTTTATACATGTCAGAAGTAACGGATCTAGCAATCTAGTCATAAACTTCTTGATGAGCAGGCTTGTGCACAGGTTGCATGTTCACAGCGAGTGCGCGTGTCCGTGGTGCATAGGAATTCATATCTAGCGTACGCAACGCACAAACATTCCTGAAAGCTGGACGCAAACGCTTAGAGGGCGCAAGACACTGCGGTGGATTATTATTCCCACTAGAGGGGGGCGGTGCTGGAAGAAGTCCCTGCAACACAGAGTTAACAGACAGTAAACATGGAAAATAATGTTTGAAAATGGCAAAACCACTATGTTAACAAGTTCTGAAAATGCGTATAACACCTCATCAGGAGTAACATGTGAATTGAGCCCCCGTTTGGGGACTCCCCAACATTGGCCATCATGACCAAGAGAGGCAGTTGCACGAGCCGCAGAGAATTGCTCGTGGGGTGGATTTACCTACAAAGTGAATTGAAAGCATATGACGGACACAATTGTAAAGAAATTAGTTGCAACACCACCTAACAGTACAACACACAGACCGAACAATTGTAAAGAAATTAGTTGCAACACCACCTAACAGTACAACGCACAGACCGAATATCAGAATCGCACAAGGCATAATTTTACACTGAACACGCACTGGCAAAATGTGACAGACACGTCATTAGCAATCCAGTCACCAGAAGATGGTATGATGTTAAAGAATGAAAGGAACGAATCGAAGCAAACTTACTACATCGCAAGGGGCCGACGAAAAATCGCGATGCGTGATATTTGGGGAACGAACGTCATGGTCATGGGCAATGGCATCCACAGCAGCCAAGCATTGGGTAGGGAGATCTTGAGTCAACCCGAGATTGAACGACGGAATGTCAGGATCAACCTATATAATGGAAGTAAGATGTGATATAACGTAACAAATGAACATAGCAGTGGCTATGGAGGTAAACGCACACACCTATCAAGTAAAATTCCCGCCCAACATAGTGGCCGCGCATGACATAGTAACATGACTAAACAATGCTAAACACACATGTAAAACCAGTAACCACGACTGGCAAGGCCTAACAGGTGTATTACTTAAGACCATGCATATGGCTCATCGAATGCAGCGGCCAAGCACAGGGACATCCGAAGCGGCGCACACGCACACGCACAGAGAAAGTGATGCACAAGGCAGAAACTTACAACCATTGGCAGTTTGTATGATTATGAAAAATGATGGGGAGTATACAAGCATACTTACTGCAACACGTGGGGCCGATAAACAGTCCCGCGGCATAACATTAGGAGTACATAGGGCATATTCACGGGCAATCGCGTCCACCACCACCCAACATTGGGTAGGCAGATCTTGAGACAAACCAACACTGAACGGGTCATTACCTTCGCCACCCTAAGGAATGTAAGTAAACAATCATATAAAACACCAATGTGAAATTACAAAGAAACATACGTCAGTGCATACCGATAACATAGTACAAAATGTTATACATAGCATCATGTACACCCTGAAACTGAACAAAGCAGTGGCCATAACAAAAAATACACGGGAACCAACACCAGAAACATACTGAGCCACCAATACAACCACATCCGTGCGTGCCATCATAAAAATTGAGCAAAAAGATTAGAACAAGTTAGCAACTAAAGATAACAAAAAATGTACATATTAAAGCCACCACAGAAACCCTAAGTACGCCTAGCTTTCTTGCGCCGGTATACAAGCATACTTACTCCATCTGGACCGCCCACACCAAGAGACCCACCGAGCGGTGCATCTACAGCCATGTCATTGCTACGCCCCACCTCAACACCCACACTGACACAACCTTGTTGCTGGTCAACATCAGTATTTGACAAAGGGATATCGCCACCTACTCTGTTCTGCTGGGCGGCAATAACGCACTCATCAACAGCATCCAAATTCACCAGGTTTCTCCATATCTCATCGTCACTGAGTGACGCAGTCGCTGCCGCATCCACTGATGCCCCACCCCCGTAACATCCATATTGTTCTGCCACCGTACTCAATCTACGTGCCCCAGCTAACACCCTAACAAAACCCTCCGAACCAACGTAGTGCTCCTGATGCTGCTCCATAAACTGAAGCATGTCATCCAACGCTCCAGCTAACACGTCAGTCTTGTCAGCAAAAATTTGAGGAATGCTTTACAATGTTACGATACAAAATACTTAAACAACCCGGCTAGGAAAAAAGAAGAAAATCCACAACAGTAATATGCACAAACATAATTCCCTAAACGCACAAATCGTGCGCATATAAGCTGCTACTACACATTATTACAAAGCATATTATTAGTTACAGGCTAAAATATGAAATGTAAAAATGAATGAAAAATCGAACTAAAGTGAAATTACAATGAGAAACAAATACACATTGCTAACGACATGAGAAATATAAAAAGCATACTATTTTTACGCTGCCACTAATTTATACGCACCCACACAAATAAATGAAAGCAAAAATTGGCAGCAACATAATAACAACGCACATGTAATATGCACATACTTGAAACATTCAACCATAAATGCCAAATGCACACTCTGAAAGGCGTATATGCACATAGCATGCACATACTGGACCCCTAGTACGCACAGAGTAGGAAATGAATGCCATCGGTAACAACACTATGCACACGCATAATGCACAAAAAAGCACAAACAGTGGAATAAAAAAAAAAAAAACTAATCTCATTTTTTGTTAAGATGATCGATAAAATGCAAATCCTACTAATTCAATACCACAAAAAATGTCCACATAAATTGACACTACAGATTATTACAAATCATATGATAACTTACAGATTAAAATAAGAACTGACAAAGCAAACAAAAAGTAAATTATAATGAAATACAAGTAAACATTGTTAAGCAATTGAGATATATAAAATGCATATTATTTAAAGGCCGCCACAGATTTGTATGCACCACCACAGAAAAATGAAATCAAAACCTGGCAGCCAAATAATAACAAACCAATATAAAATGCACATTCTAGAAATGCATACCACCAGGAAAAGCAGTTTGCACACGCTGAGTTGCATATACGCTCAAACATGCACAAACTGACTACACAAAACGCACAGACGATAAAATGTACTCCAGGAGCAACAAAACTATGCATACGTAAATAAACCCCAAAGGCACAAACCATAACCCAATCTCACACCATGCACTTCCACTTTATATAACATAGCATATTACCTTCGCCGGAGCTACAACAGCAGGTCCACCAACAACATGTCGCGCATCACCACCCTATACCATAAAAAACAAATCAAAACACAAATACCATGGAAATAAGAAATTGGTAATTGACTCATGGCAACACGCAAAAACCCAAACCAATCTACACGTCAAACTTATTACAAAAAAAAAAAAAAAAAAAAAAAAAAAAAAA